GATTGCGAGTCGGGTGCCCTTTCCACCTGGCCATGCCGGGCCGACTGCCAGACGGAGTGAAAAGAACTGGGAGATCAAAAATACCCTTTCCCTAATAGCTGAGTAGAAGGCAGTCTCGAAACAAAGGTCATCATCAATAAAACAAAGAAGTCCATGTAGATGCTCCCTCCACTAATAAGAAATTTGAGGATCAAGTGATTGTGAAATCAAATGATCCAAATGAGACGATCCCACTGAAATACCCATAGCATGATGAACAGAAGGAATGTGAAGACAATGAATGTTAGGTTTATTTCTAGAAATAGTCAGCAACAGCTCTGATATAACGAAAAATGCCTGGACAGAATACCTTGATCAATCAGGACCAACAATGCAACACCTTTTATGCTTGTAATCAAATAAGACCTCAAATGAATAAGCAGAAATATTAAAACTAACATAAGTGTTAACAGCAGGGCTAAAAATAAAATCTGAATTCTTAATGAAATGTCAACCAAAAAATCTGGTTTTTTGCAGGAAGGTAGAGCTTAAATAGTCCAGTGATGCATGTGAAAATAAGCCATGTGGAAGATGGGAGAGTGGATGTTATGCAAACATTGGATTGTGTTGAGGACATTCAGAACTTTAGTTCATATGATGTTGAGAAAGATAGTTCAATCGAACAAGAAGAAGCCAATCATATTTCAGATATAAATCTGCCTGTTTTGAATTAACACTATAAACGAATTTCACACTAAAAAATTGGAATGAGAATCAAAGTAATTTTATAGGAATTTTTCCAACATAAGTAAGAATTTACAAAAAAATAATTTCCTTTCATAAAAAAGCTTGTTCAATAACATAACTCTACAATGAAATTAATCAATTTGTTTTGGCTTCTATTTATGTTAACCTGAAAATGTGTGTTTTGTTTTCTGCTCACTCTCTATCATGGGGGGGACTACAACAAGTGGCCTTAACCTTCAATTTTTACACATCGAAATAGGAAAATTCAATAAAATATTTGAAAATACAAAAAGCCCTAAAAACAGGAAAATATCGGACTCATGACAGTCCACAAACTTATTTACACTAGTTACTAAAGTGTACTGGATTAGCTGAAGCACAGTAGTTCATGTGTAGAAATGAAGACTGAGATACGGTTAGAATTCATGTTTAATGGCATAATCTTAGCACATGGTTTAGATGCACATATTTAATTAAAATAACACATTTGGTTATAAATTTTCTAAAAATAAGATGGAAAAAATCTAATTACAAATAATGATTTTATTATCAATTATTCAGTATTTTAAACTGAAAACAAACTCCCTGTCAAAATTCAATTGTAACTCAATAAGACTGAGAGATAACTGGAAGTTATTAAAATTGAAACTTGTTGTAGCACAAGTAGCATCAGGTAAATAAATTTTTCTTAAGGTATATTTTATATGCATGAATTATTTTCAACTGTTTTGACAAACTAAACACTGTTGTGATAATTAATAATACAGAGGTTGTAATGTCACTATTTAGATCACTGGTTAGGCTACATTTGGAGTATCATGTTTAGTCTTAGGATCCTCAAATCAGAAAGGTCACTGAATTGTTGGGAAGGATTCAGAAGAGAGCTACTAGGATGACACATGGGAGATAAATGTTATCATATGATGTTTT